TTCCCAGACCCAATTAATGAGGATGTATTTTTATCCCGTCCCATATTTGAATATATAATGTTGGCATTGTGCGTTGCCAGTGCACGCCAACGAACGAGTCGTCGTCACGGACTCACACGATGTTGACTCTGGTGGCTCCGACGGCGGACGATGGCAGCACGGGGGGCACGTTCCTAGACAGGATATGACTGGCCCAGTGCTCGGTTGAAACTACAGGTATAGTGAAACCAAGTCCAGTGGGAAATGGCGGTAACTTATCTGATGAGCTGGCAACTAGGATTACAAGAAAGAGAGTACGAGAGGAGGACAGGTAGGTAGAGATAGCTAAAGACTTAATCTCACTTCGGCATTTGCCCTCTCCAACGAAAGGTCAAGATCTACAGGTTGACAGCCAGAAGCTCAAGCACTACGGCCGACATGACCAAGTCCCAGAAGAAGGTCAAGATCTACAGGTTAACAGCCGCAAGAAGCTCAAGCACTACGGCCGACATGACCACGTCCCAGAAGAAGGTCGTAGTCATCCTGCGAAGCGACAACTACTTCCACTGGGAATTCGCCATGCAAATGACGCTGGCGAGGAAGGGGCTGCTGGCGCACGTGCAAGTGGTGAAGGACCCGGCCGAGATGACCGAGGCCTGGCTGCTGAACAACATGAAGGCGCTCGGCTTGATTGCACAAGGTGTGTCGGTGGAGCATCACACGAAGATCCGGTCGGTGACCTCGGCCACGCAGGCCTGGAACACGCTGCTCGAGTTCTACAACCAGACCACGATGGATAATCGTGTAACGATGACTCGTCGGCTCCACGAATTCAAGACGGAAGATGGATCAACGATGGCCCGGCACTTGGACAAATTCGACGAGCTGATCGTTGGACTGCAAACATTTGGTGAGCCACGGGATGACACCCGACAACTCGTTATCCTGTTGAGTAGTCTGCCGACGGAGTTTGAGTTGATCGCATCGATTGTGGAGAACAGCTAGGACGTTACTTTGATCGAAGTGAAGGGGAAGTTGCTCAAAGAATACGAGTGGCAGCAGAAGAAGGAGACTTCTGAGCGTGCTCAAAATACCACATAGTTTGGTGGTAACAGCAAAAGCGGAAAGTTCGGCAAGAGTAACAACGGACGAAGAATCGTTGGGTCCAGGGCAAGTGCTCCAACTGTGGCCAAGCTGGTCACATGAAGCGGGACTGTCCAGAAAAGGTCAACGGTGACGTCAATGATGGCTCAGTCTTCGTGGTTGGGGAAGATCAATCTGCGGGATGGCTGGTCGACAGCGGTGCGACGGCGCACATGACGCCACACCACGACGACTTGTTCGAGTACTCGGCGATGTCCAAAGACATATATGTGACAATCGCTGATGGAAAAAAGATTCGTGTAGCTGGGACGGGGTCGGGGCGCTTGACGGGCATTGACGGCAAGAGTATTCGAATGGTGGAGGTACTCTACATACCCGGTCTCGACCGACGACTGCTATCGGTCGGGAAGTTGGCAGAGCGAGGTTTGAGCGTGGAGTTCCAGCGCAACTCGTGTGTTATTTGAGACAAGTCGAAGACAGTTACTTCGGGGAAGAAGATCGGTAAAGCGTGCGTGTTAGACTGTCAACAAAATGTGGGGTACTACACCGAATCCTCGGGGTCGATAGCGAGTGGGAGCTTTGGCATGCTCACATGGTCCATCTCAACGATGACTCGCTGACGAAGACTCGTCAAGCTACAACTGGCCTACTGAAGACCCAGCCGATTATCATAACGTTGTATGGTGGATGCATGAAGGGAAACAGACGGTCACTCACTTCCCATCGCGTTCGCTTACAACGACGACTCGTCCACTGTAGCTAGTTCACACAGAAGTGATGATCCCAATGAAGACAAAGGGCTAAATATGTACTCGTCTTCGTGGACATTTCTCGCGGTACGTCGTGGCATACTTCCTGAAGAAGAGCGAGGTTGACAAGAAGTTCAAGACGTACCTGCCCATGTACGAAAACCTTTGAGGGGAGCGGATCAAATGTCTGCGCTCGGACAACGGCTTGGAGTTTGTGAACAAGTTGATGGACAAGATCTGCCAGCAGTACGGCATCATACATCAGAAGACTATTCCAAACAGTCCGCAGCAGAACGGAGTAGCCGAGCGCATGAATCGAACGATCATGGAGAAGGCGCGGAGCATGCTACATTACAAAGGTGTAACAACACTTTGGTGGGCCGAGGCAGTTAGCACTGCAGTGTACTTGATCAATTGGACCTCAACTAGCACTCGTCCAACGACGACTCCGTACGAGTCATCGTTTAAGGTGAAACCTCGGTTGGATCACCTTCGTGTATTTGAATCCATCGGGTATGCACATATTGACAAAGCTATGCGCACTAAGCTGGAAGCAAAAAGCTTTAAGTGCATGTTCCTCGGGTATGCTGAAGTTTCAAAGGGATATCGAGTTTACGATTTGGAGTCGAACAAGGTGAAGGTATCTAGATCTGTGAAGTTGGATGAGCGGTTGGTGAATGGAAAAATATGAGATGACGTCTACCGACGACTCGGAAATTATCCATGTGACGAAAACCACCGAGGGCTCGGCACTACCAGAGTTGCCACAACAACCAGCTGATGATGAACCAATGAAGTCAGTTGAAGAGTCAGCTGAAGACACTGAAATGGACAATGTGGAGTCTGAGGTGTTGTGGGCCTAGGGCTCACTAGTTAGCTTACACGTGTGCGCACGTGTAGGAGTTCCTAGGTTGTATAGCATACACACGATGCGTGTGTACGGTAAGACAAGATAGGAGCAAGATAGCGTAAAATGAGAACTGTATTGTTTGTTTAAAGGGTTTCCCAAATATCTAAGGGACTGTCAGCGAGTGGCTGACAGTGATCCGCATCGCTGATTGGTAGAGGTGTGGCGCACTCTACCAATAGGATCTCTTTAAATGCAATCTTGACGTGTTCACATACCAAGATAGGAAACCTCTAATTCTACCCGGTTAACGTTGCGGTTAGAGTTTCGTGTAACCCCGTTACCCCCCCCCCGTTAAGATTTGACGTGCCGGTCACATCACGTCAAGCCTCCGAGAGAACTCCGCGATCATTTCGCAATGAGCGCCTATCTGCGAACACCAGCGTCTTCGCCAGTGTCCGCGTCGACCTCAGTATCGACGCCTGCGGCTGATCCCGCGTCCGCACCGACCTCCGCGTCGGTGCCTGCTTCCGCGCCTGTGTCGGCGGCAACGCCGACACCCTTAAGTGGTACGACAGAACAGAGAACTTCTCTGTCGACAAGTACTTCGAGCTCCAAGAGAAGAAGCTCGAGCTCGAGGCGAAGCAGTGCGCTGGGGCCGCGAAGACAGCCAGTTCAAAGACTGTCTTCGATGGTTCGTCGGTCCTCTCAACCGACGGTAGTATCCCCGTGGACTACGAAGAGGGAGAGCTCGAAGACGAGGGTACCTCGTCTTCCCAGTCATGTGACTCCAAGCATGCGGTTGGGACTCGTGAAGAAGATTCGGACGCTTCATCGTCGAAGCGTCCGCAAGGTGTTAGTGATGCAGTGCCTTCCACACTGGAAGCACTTCCCATCACCTCGGATCCACCTGTTGTTCCGTCGGAGCAACGTGATGCCCCGCGCACTGACGACCCTGTGCGCGAGCCTTGAATGCCGTCTGAGAGTGTTATCACAGCACGGTACGGGTGCACGGTTCCTCCGAACGTGATACCGTTGTACGTCGACAATCGAATTGTCGACGATGCTGAAGCTGCCTCAAAGCACTTTGAGCCGATGATGAATCAAAGGCGAGACTATTATATCTCGCTTTTTTATGAGCTCCGGTACTGGAGCTCGAAGAAGACTTCGGGGCGAAGCAGAGTGCCCTAGTGGCAGGCATCCTGTCAAAGCTGGAATCAGTTTGTTGAAAACTTCAACAAAGACTCGACAGCTTATCGCGAGCGAATCGCGTCAGCTCGTGGGCGCTTCATGAGGTACTCCGTTACCTCCGTCGTCCAACGCGTTCACGAAGGTTCCGTGAACGCGAACATTCCTTGTGCAGTGCCAGTGGGCATCAATTGTCCGCACTGCCCTCCTGGTGCTCCCCGCATCAGCGAGAGAGACCTCACCGGGTACACGACTAACCGTGTACCTGCAAACGTTAAGGAGCTACGTGCTAAGCTCGCTTGCACGCGTCAGCATCCTCGTGTTGTGCCTGAGCACAACACCCCGCAGTGTTACGCCTCCAGTCCGTGGTGGGCTTCGTACGCCTTCACCATTTCCGGAACGTCCGTCATCAGGACGTTTCGGGGAAACCACGTATCTCGAAGGAGACCCGATTGTCTCCAACGAATACGAAAACGAACCGGACCTCGGTTTGTCTTCGGACTGGTATGGTCAACAATCCGATTCACCTCGTGGTGGATCGTGTCGCGGACAGCGTTATGCTTCTGTCGGCGGTGCCGGACGCTCATCATATGGTCGACCCTGGGTTGACCATGGTCTTCAGGCGCTCCACGCTCGCGTGGAGGCTCTTGAGCGCGTTCAGACTTTTCAGATCGCTGAGCTGAAGCAGCAGCTGAACCGCAGAAGGCTTACGTGGCCGAAGCCGCTCAGACCACCTCAAACATCCGTGTTGAGGAGTTGGAACAAGTTCGCCTTCTTCGGGAGAAGGTGAAGAGGCTTGGGGAGAAGCTGAGGACGCGCCGCGCGTCGTCGTCGGCGAGTCATCACGACTAGATGACTCGGGCTGCACGTAGGGCTTCAATCGCCCAACGTAGAACGTTGGGTGGAGTCTCATGTCGGAAGGTAGTTCCAACGTGTATACACTGCCGTGCCGTTCTGCCACCGTGAACGGTCCGATGAAGCGCGGAGCAAGCTTTCTTGCTCCGAATCCGGGAAAGGTGTGTGTAACCAGGTTTTGTGTAGATAACAAAACCAATGAATCAATTTTGAATCCATTTGTGTTCCCCTGCCCACATCGTCTGCGTTCTGCTTCTGCCTATCCGCAGAAGCTGCAATTACATCTTGTACGAATAGAAGACTGTTTGTCGTTCCTGGACAAAGTTTATTGCTTGAGAGCTGAACCTCGGGTCCAGCTCGTTGACCTTGTCCGCATCTGTGCCCTGCACAGACCCGCCACTTGTGTTTGCATCAGTCCCAGACTGTGCGTGGCCCATTGTGGTGTCGGTGCCCGGCACTGACACCTCGTGTGTGATCGCAGCAGGTCCAGCATGTGCGTGAAGCTTCTCAGTATCGATGCCCGGCATCGATACATCACTTGCGCGTGCAACAGGCCCGGTCTGTGCGTGAGGCTTTGAGGTTTCTGTGCCCCGCACAGACACGTTGTCCTTGGATGAAGCAGGTGTCGCCTGCTCGTGGTTCTTCACAGTGTCATTGCCCGGCACTGACACGTCGTCTTGTCGTGTGCGAGCTCTCGCACGTGTCGTCGCAGCTGATAGATCCGTATCAGCTGTCTTCTGCGGTTGTTCAGACGCAACCGTAGATCCTCCCCTACTTAAGGAGGAAGCCACCGCCCCGAGCGTGCTCGGAAGGCGTGGATGCCGCATGGCGTTCACGAAGAACGGTGTATGCCCAGTCGAGGCATGCACCGCGTTGTTGATGGCGAACTCGGCCATCGGCAAGTAGTCGCTCCAGTTGAGGAACGACGGAGCGTAGCTCTTCAGCAAGTCCCCGAGCACGCGGTTCACGCGCTCGGTTTGCCCGTCCGTCTGCGGATGATCCGCAGTCGACAATGAGAACTGCGTTCCAAGAAGTGTGAACACTTCTTGCCAGAAACGCGCCGTGAAGCGCGGATCGCGGTCCGACACAAAGTCGTTGG